CGTTTACTGCAACAACTGTATGGCATTTCAAGGTCCCTGCCAGCAAGTGAGCTACAACAGACAACACTCAAGTCCTCTCTAGGTAGCCGGCCCTCCTGCCTCAAACAGTCAGAGTTTGCCCTGGCAGGATGGCCCAGAAAGCCGGCATTTTTAAATGGTGCAGCTTTTTTCCTGCTATGGCTGAAAACCGAAAAGCATGCGTTCAGCTTTTCGTCAACACCGTTTAAGTGTTTCATGGCAGGAACTCTTAGTAAGCTGCAGGGTTTTGCAGCTAAAGCTGAGTCAGGAAGCCTCTCTTAGATATGGCACTTGCTTGCCTCTGGCAAGTAGAGTAGACCCGAGAAATTGCTGCTACCAAGAAACCAGGCACATGCTTTCATTTTGTTCTAGAATTACTTCCCAAGCTGTCTGAGGCTTTATGTGGAAGCAGTTGTCCACGTGGGCGACATATGTAGTAATAGGGGGCGCGGCGGGGCTGCCTCCCCGGCACCCTGTCCGCTTGCTCGGCTAGTTTATGCCCCAAAATAATTACACAGAAACTGTATTCTTTTAATCACTGCTTGGCCCATTCTCTTCTAGGCTAATTCTCACATATTAATTTAGCCCATTTCTAATCATCTGTGTGTAGCACCCCAAGGTGCGCTTACCGGAAAGATTCTAGCCTATGTCCATCCTGGGTCGGAGCTTCATCCCGGGAGCAGGGCATGGCGTCTCTCTCAGGCGTCTGCTCCAGAGAGGAGAGCTGTCGAGACTGAGCTCACTTCCTCTTCCTCCTAGTGTTCTGTTCTGTTTACTCCTCCCACCTATCCTCTAACCAATAAAATGGGCCAAGGCAGTTCCTTTATTAGCCAATGACCTTCCTCCATCAGAAAGGAGCGCTGAACCGCGGATCTGGAAGCTAAACTGGGCTCTCACAGTTAGTTCAGAGCAGATGCAGACTCCCAAGTGATCTGCCTTACAAACCCGCATCTCATTTTCGAAGCAGTCTCAAAAAGAGAACCCACACAAGTGTTTTAGATGAAGGCTAAGAGCCTGTTTCTTTTTTTTTTAATTTTATTTATTTGTTTGTTTGTTCATTTATTATATATACAATATTCTGTCTGTGTGTATGCCTGCAGGCCAGAAGAGGGCACCAGACCCCATTACAGATGGTTGTGAGCCACCATGTGGTTGCTGGGAATTGAACTCAGGACCTTTGAAAGAGCAGGCAATGCTCTTAACCTCTGAGCCATCTCTCCAGCCCCCAGCCCGTTTCTTTTCTTATTGTGAAAAAGAGTTCGTCTTCACTGCAAAGATAAAGTTTATGTAACTGAAAAGGGCTAGGTATGATGGCATGTGCTTGGAATCTCAGCACGTTGGGAGTTGGAGGCAGCATGAGTCCAACTCCCAACAAGCAATCAGTAATGTCACTCAGAAAACAAGACTCAAGTAAAAGAAAAATCATCTGCAATTCTGTCACCTACCTGTGCTGTCCAAAAAAATAAGCCAGTAGCTACAGGTGACCATTTATTTCATGTGCATGTGTGCATGCTTATGTGTTTGTGGGTGCCTGTATGTGCGGGTGCAAGTGAACATGTCTGTGTGGAGAACAGTGCATCCTTGGATCCCATTCCGCCTCAGGTACAGTTTATATTGTTTACTTGAGGAAAAGTCTCTCACTGGCCTGGGGCTTGTCAATTAGACTAGACTAGATGGGCAGTGAACCCCAAGATATTACCTCTGCCTCCCCCGTGGCAGTACTGGGATGTGCAGCACACCTGACATTTTGTCATGGGTCCTGGTGACCAAACTCACATCTTTCTGCTGCTTGTGTGGCAGGCACTCTATTGCCTGAGCTGTTTCTCCAGTCTGCACAAGTCCCTGTTAATCAGAATTCGGCGACAGCAAGTTCCGTTTTCAGCCATAGAAGTACGTTTTGATTTATGCTGCTGAGGAAGCTGCCCCCGTGGAGCCCTTCTAGAACTTAATGTCTTTACACACTTACACCGCTGACAATACTGCTTTCTGGTCTTCTTTTAGTTAGTTGGGGAGCATTTAAAAACCTTGCTGAGGAATTTCAGATGTGCCAGCATCATTTTAGTAGTCGTGGACTCAACGGCAGTATTGCTTCGGGTTTCAGCTCCCACTGACAGGTCTCGTTTTCCCTGGACCATATTCGAAACGCCACCAGCAGATCATTGGGTGTGAATCCCTGAAAGGACCTTGTGTAATGATGTAGTACCTCCTTAAATCGTGCAAGACTATCATTTTTTTCAGGTGTCTCAAATATGGTTTTCCCAAGTCACTCCGCACATGTTCATATGTTGCAGTTGGCTAATATGTCTCAAATTTATAGGTTTCACATGCAGTTGATGAGTACATCAGTTATTGTTTGTTTTTGAGTTGGCCAGACAGTTCCTTGGATCGTCTTGAACTTGCTCTCCAGAATAGGCTGGCCTCGAAATCTGCCCACCTCTGAATATTGTCACTTTTAACGACTGCAATACATTGCTTGCCTAAGCAGTTCATCGGTAATTACTCAATACCCATTTTTTTTTAAATATTTATTTATTTATTTATTTTTAAATATTTATTTATTTACTTATTATGTATACAATATTCTGTCTGTATGTATTCCTGCAGGCCAGAAGAAGGCACCAGACCTCATTACAGATGGTTGTGAGCCACCATGTGGTTGCTGGGAATTGAACTCAGGACCTTTGGAAGAGCAGGCAATGCTCTTAACCTCTGAGCCATCTCTCCAGCCCCCTCAATACCCATATTTTGCTCTCATAAATCTTGCTCTTAGAACTAAATCTTTTATCTCTAGGAGCCAGTCACATAGGCCCGCAACTGTACAAGAAAACCGAAGCCTACCAGCTAGCTCTGAACTCACAGGCACCGTGATGCCTTAGCCTTCCGAATTGCTGGGATTACAGCTACCACACCTGGCCTCTTACAGCTAAATATTTTAGGATGTTGTTATTTCCTTAGAGTAAATTCCTGGAAGTGAAAATGCTGGTTTGACTGGTATTTTTGAGGCTTGTTTATCCTATTGGAGGCTTGTTCAACAGTGGAAATATTTGATTAAAAATAGTATCGACTGTTCATTTAGAGCCTATTCAAGAAAGAAAGATGGACTAGATAGTGTGTAGGTGGTTGTCACACAGTCACTAATGATGGTCTAAGTCTACACACTGGCGGAAGGAGTTTAGAGACTATAATCCATGCTCTGAAGTAAATATGGAATTTACTCTATAGGAAAACCCAGCTCCCTAATATCTGATTAGAAATCATATATTTTGACCAAAGTTAAACTTACCTCTAGCGTTACTGCGCATATCAGCGTTTTTGTCTATATGGGCACATTACGATATAGCCAAGTTTGTGCATTTTAGCTGAGAACAGATCAATGCAGAGAAATAGCAAGTAAAAATTAATGCCAGGTGCTGATAGATCAGGCAATGGAAATTTTGTGCAGAGCATTTGAGTATTTTCCTGACTTAGATAAAATTTAAATCAACTTTATTTCTTTTGCATAAATGAAAGGACTCAAAGTCTGAAAATAAAGCATCAGTTGAAAAAAGGTAGAATAAGTGCCAGAGGGAAAGCCCGCTGTATTGACGGTATGAATGGGGACTCAGAGGCACGGGCTGCACAATTATGTAATTATTTAGAGACATAACATTATGTTTTGGGGCAGTATTTATAAGTACCCCCAGAAAATTTCTGGTTACTAAATTTTTGTCTGTTGGATATTTACACTTATTTTGGTAAATTTAATGTCTTTGAAATATTTATTCAATGTGAGGCACTTTAAAAAACAATCTGTGTCTTTCTTATCTGTGATAGTAGTGTTGGCTTCATTTTCAGAGTAACCAAGTAACTGCTGGGCATGCAATAGCCTGCAGTGGTAGAACTGGCCTGGACTTTCCATCCCGTGACTTCCAGCCTTGGAGGTTTAGAGAGATACAATGCCAAGTTTGATTTATGCATCGGAAAGCCCATGTTCTGGGCACTTGTAATACCTACATATTATGGAGTGGTGGGCATCAGGTGACTACCAACTGTGGTCATTCTGCCACCTGGGGTCCCTCGGGCCTGTTTGGGACGGCAGATGCTTTTCGGAAGTGTTGTTCCGATAGAAAAGGGCAGAGCTGAAGATGATTGTGATGCTGGGACAGGTGAGCCCCGTTTTCACGCGGGAGAAACGTGTGTCATAAACCTGGGATTTTCGTGCATTTTCACCTCCACCTCTTTCAAGTATGCAGAAATTTACTTCAGAACGCTTGGTCTATCATCACGTCTTAGAAATTTGAAGTTAATGAACATTTGTCCATCTGGTCTTGTCTGACTGACTAGGGTTAAAATGACTACAGGCTAGTTACTTCAGTATGCCCCAGTTAAAAATTTTAAAAAACTTTCTGGGACATTTCAGTCTTTCCGTTGAGGGTTTCAATACTGATGCTCCTCAGGGACTCTCTGAAGGGAGGATGATGTTTTGAACAGCTAGGTCCCTCTGCTGGCCGCACATATTCTCTGGGTTATACCAGAGGTGCTAAATGGGATAGCGAAGCCATTTTCATTTGGGGTGTTGTAAACTTCTGTTTGAAACAGGAAGGAACTTTCTAGTTTAAATGTTTTGGCTCCAGCTAGTTTATTAAAAGGCGGGAGAGGCAGCTAAAGCTTCTAAAAAACAAGAAGAGAAATGTGGAGAAAAGTTAACGTTTTCGAGTTCTGCATTTATGAGTTTAAGTTCAATATTATCCTACGTTGGGGTGTAATTTCAAGACCCAGCCTAGCAGCTATATCCCTCCCTAGCCCTCTGAGCCGAGTAGGTCGACCCCGTCTAGTTTCTAGCTTCAGTCCGCGGGTCTCAAGCCTGGCAGCTAAACTACGAAGGGGCCATCTCGAGGTTAATCCCTCGGAACCTAGGACCTAGCGGGGCCTGCGGTGGCCCCGCCTTTCACGCATCCACGCTCACGATTGGCTCGGGGCAGCGCGGGCACGCCCCCGCCATGGCCGCCGCCGGCTGCGGGGCTGGGGGCCCTGGAGCGCCGGTGTGAGCGGGCCCGGCTGCTGGGCGGCGGGCTGGGGCGCATGGGCCTCCTCCGAGGCGGGGCTGCGTGCGCTCGGGCCATGGCGCGCCTGGGCGCGCTGCGCTCGCACTACTGCGCGCTGCTGCTGGCCGCGGCGCTGGCGGTGTGCGCCTTCTACTACCTGGGCTCGGGCCGGGAGACTTTCTCCAGCGCCACCAAGAGGCTGAAGGAGGCCCGCGCCGGGGTCGCCGCGCCTACGCCGCCCCCGCTGGACCTGGCCCGGGGCTCCGTGGTGCCGGCCTCGGGTGCCAAGGCCAAGAGCCTGGAGAGCGGCGCGGCCGTGCCGGTGGACTACCACCTGCTGATGATGTTCACCAAGGCGGAGCACAACGCGGCGCTGCAGGCCAAGGCCCGGGTGGCGCTGCGCTCACTGCTGCGCCTCGCCAAGTTCGAGGCGCACGAGGTGCTTAACCTCCACTTCGTGAGCGAGGAGGCCAGCCGCGAGGTGGCCAAGGCCCTGCTGCGGGAGCTCCTGCCGCCCGCCGCCGGTTTCAAGTGCAAGGTGAGCGGTGGGTGGCCCTTGCCTGCACTCTGAGCAGTTTTTGGCGGCTCCAGTGAGCGTCGGCCCTTTCCTATGCCTGTAGTCTGTCTGATTCCCTCTACCTTGCCCGGTGCATGCATGCCCAGCACATGCATGCCCAGTATGCTGGAGATCTGGTCTGGGGGCGTGTCCCAGAACCAGACTAGCTCAGCTGAGCCGAAGGGGATCTGCCCTGTTAACTAGTCCGTCTCCCGCTTCATTCAGCACTGCTTCATTCACGGGAGAATCAGCCTGCCCCATTTTGCTAGCTTCCCAGCATGCCTAAGAAGTGCCTTCACAGTCTACATTCCTTTTAATATTCCGAGGAGGGAACTGTTCATTTTGAAGACACCAGTAGTCATCTTTCTGAGCAAAGTGTGCCGGACAGGGTCTGGGAGAAGCCTCTAGAAGTCGTGGTTGAACTGGAATTCCTCAGTAGAAGTCAGGGTATTGCAATCGTTTTGGTTCTCCTTGGAAACCATCTCGTGTCCTCTCTGTGCCCTTTTCCTTCCTGCCCTTAAGGACATGAACCAGTTAGAGAGGCCGCAGGTTCCTCCTCCAGGGGAAGAGAAAGCTCAAAGAGATGCAGATATGAACCCACCAGCCTGCCTTCCTGGCAGCTCCCACGTCTTTCATCTTCTGATTTATCACTTGCCTCTGCCTGTCCGGGATTGGACTCTTGACCAGCTGGTTCTCCTCATCAACTTGCTTGCCCTGTTTGGACCCTGTATTGTGTAGAGGGGTCGAGTCTGCTTATTGGGTAATGGGTTAGGACATCTTAAAGGATGGCATCAGATGGTGGTGGAAGGACAGGGAGGCACGAACAATATTCCCTGTGTCTGTGCCTAGCTTGGTGACTATCAGGAGCTGCTGCCAGGGCCATGCTGGGTTCAGGGGTCCGTAGCTGACTACATTGTCACGCCCCAGTTGCTTGGTGAGGCTCTGCTGTCAGCCTGGTTTTATTCTCTGACTTCACCTCTCTTTCCCATAAATGTGCCAATGTCCTCATTTTATTTTATTTTTTTGGAGACACCATCTTGTTATGTACATCAGGAGGGCAGCTGAACTCACAGTCTCCCTGCTGTTGTCTCCTGAGTGCTGGATTATAGGTGCTTGTAGGCCAGGCGCTCCCCTCACGTCCGGATCTCACTGTGGTCTAAGCTGTCCCGGGAATTCACTGTGGAGCTCAGGCTGGCCTCACACTAGTGCCAATACTCCTGAGGGCTCCATCGTTTGTGTGTCATGCACCACGCTTCCTAACGCTATTGAAGGTGGCCTTACACAAGCTGTCTTCTCCACCCAGAATGTCCCTTCTTCCCTCTCCGGAACCTTCCGTGTCCAGTCCTTCATAGCTTCCAATCTTGCTTCCCCTCATAGCATTGAAGATATGTTTTCTGCACTGGGCGGATGAGTCCGTCAGGATAACTGCTACAGTCAGGAAAGGGTACCTGGGCTGGACTTTCGTCCTGTAGGAGGCCTAGGAGCTTCTGGCTGAAGGGGTGGATTTGTTCCAGCGCCTTCCTGCTTTACTGATCTGGAATTTCAGAGGTAGCTCAGCCTACCCTGTTTGGTCCTCTGGGCTCTGACGTTGGAGAAGCTTTCCTGTTTCAGGGAGAAGGCCCTGGGGCCAGTCTAGACAGATCTTGGATTGCATCAGGTCACCTCGAAGACCAGCATGGTTGTGGCCACCTGCTGGGGTAGCAGCTTGGGCCTACTCTGCACTTCCAGATCTGTTCCCCCCTTCATCCCCAGCTGAAGCACAGCCAGCCTTCAGCCTGCATGTGTGAGATGATGTCATTCCCAGGGGTGGAGTACTTTCTCCATTCTCCATCTTGCCCCTCCTCCATTACCTCCTTGGAGGTGTGCAAGGCACCCACAACTGAAGAGTATGTCATTGTCCTTTCCCGTTGGTCCTTCCTGCTGTTGTCCTGTGTCATGTCGGCTGCCCCTACACAATCCTTGCCACACAATTGGCCTCAAGAGCATAGGCCATGTCTTGAGGACATGATGCTTCCTGCTCTGTGGGGCCCATCTGACAGCCACAAGCCCTTACACAAAGCTTGGAGACTACTGCAAATGACCTGAAGGGACTGCCACCTTCCCTGTGAGGTATGAAGGTGGGAGCTAGTGTGAGCCAGTGGGTCTAACCCAGTGGTTCTCAACCTGTGCGCTGTAACCCCTTTATGGGATTGAATGACCCTTTCACACAGGGGTCACATAAGACCACTGAAAAACATAGATATTTACGTTATGATTCATGACAATAACAAAATTACAATTATGAAGTAGCAATGAAACGGTTGGGGTCCCCATAATACGAGGAACTGTATTAAAAGGTCACAGCATTAGCAAGGTTGAGAGCCACTGTTCTAACCAGACAGCATTGGGCAGATAAAGGTTTATCAATCTTGGGGTCACATTGCTCCCATTGTTTATGAATTCATATTTTGTGAACTTGTTCCTGTGCTAAATAAATGATGCCTCTCCCTCAAAAGCAGGATTAATTCGCTTCTTGTGATTTAATTCTTCCTAAGCTTTGGACACTTCTCACACCACAAGCCGTTCCCTCCTGCCTTCTCCTCTGCCTGCTCTGTCCTTCAGGTCTATAGTGCTAGGCAAATGCTCTACCTCACCCCAGCCCTGTCTAGGAACTTCTTAAGAACGTAGGCCCTGACGTCTCTTCATCTCTTTGCTTCCACGGCTCTAGCCTCTGACCCTGGGCCTTTTTTATGTGATTGTTTTTTTATACAGGGGGCTATTTCTTTCAGCATGGATTAGGAGGAAGGAAATTCGAACTTCTCAGACAGATTCAGTCAGCTAGAAGGGATCTTCAGGAACAGACCACAGGAGTGAAGAAACTCGCCAAGGCTACTGGGGAGTGACTGGCCTTGAGGTGGGAGAGCCCTGGACTACAGTAATCCTTTAAGGATTACCTTTCTCTTTTGAGACAAGTCCAGAGGACAGTTTACCCTGGGGATGTTGTGTTGGAACTAGAGGGAAGGGGAAAGTGGCTCCTTGACACACAGCCTTCTAGAAACAGCGTGGGCTTCTCTCAGAGAGAACCCTGGGACTCTGTCATGTCCACAAGATATCCTCAAGGCTATAGTGAGCTAGCACAGGACTTGTATCCATACTCAGAGGTGCCTTCCCAGGCCACCTTCAAGTAATAAACACCAGAAATAGATAGAGAACATTATAACATTATTAGCAACCTTGGGCTATGTTTTCATTAATTAAATATTAGGTGAAACGTTTTTCACAAAATGAGAAAAATCTCATTTTGACTATTATAGAAAAAATTTTTTGTTATGTTCTTACTGTGGAATCCTTGTAACTAAATGCCTGAACCTGCTGTGTCCCAGGTACTTGTTGTGTACCTTTTAAGCTTCTTGTGCTCCCCAGCACATCTAGCATCCTGGAACCCTGGCAGCTGGCCTTGGTTTCTTCCTCCAGCTTATCCTTCTAGAGCTTAAAAGGCAGGAGGAGGGGGTTTCTGTGGATCTACTTCTGAATCCTCCCCCTCCCTGTCTCTCTGTCAAGTGGAATTGCATACTTGTAGAACTTAGATCAAGACTCCTGTCCCCTGCCCCACCCCCAATGTGGTTTTGCTCTGTAGCCCAAGATATCCTAGAACTCAAAATCCCACTGCTTTAGTCTCCTGGTGCTGAGATTGTAAGTGCCATCACACCTAGATAGGATTGAACTCCCCTCAGCTCTCCTTGCTGTATTGGATTTGACGGGGTGTACCAGGAATGTCTGACAGGAAGCCGGCGTAACCACGCTTGGGCTGGAGGGAGGCATTTCTGGCTCCCGTGAGAGCCCTTGCAGATGTGAGGTTCCTTCTAGATCACTCTCACCCTCCCCAGGGTAAGCCCTTGTCATGCTTCAGGATGGCTGTTGAAGTTTGAAGCAGCAAGTCTGTGTTGCTTTGTGTTCAGACCAGTGTTTCTGTGGCTTTGCTTTTGGATCCAGCTTTACAATGCGGCCCTCCTCTGCTGTCTTCTTGGAAACTAAGCCTGGTGAACAGACCTGTGACCCGAGCGTCATGGGCAGTAGGAGCTAGTGGGCATGATGGGGAAGGGGTGTGAGATGGAGCAGGAGGTCCTGTGGTGGACACAGCAGAGCTACAGGGATCCTGAAGCTTGCTTCTCTGTCCCCTTTGTGGTCTCAGCCCAGTTCCTGGCGTATTCCATCCTTCTGCCAAGTGGACCAAATCCAAGACATCCAAGAGACTGCAGCCATCGCTCTTCCTTCAGAGCTCAGCATGTCCTGGGCAGGTGCTCAAGGGTCATTAGGAAGTGACCAGGAAAAAGTGTGGGTGCAGTGAGGTGTTTCTAGGACTGTATTTATAGTAAAGGCAGAACTGAGTAACTCATGCTGAGGGAGGGAGAATACACACAGCCTGGCATAGGCTTTGAAACCTCAAAACCCACCCCTAGTGACACATTTTCTCCAGCAAGGCCACACCTACCCCCAGAAAGCCACACCTCCTAATCCTGACCCTTCTCCAACAGCTGGTGACTAAGCATTCAAATATGTGAGCCTATGAGGGCCATTCTCATCCAAACCACCACAACTAAGGAATGGGATATTCTGTAGATATATAACTTACCATCTTAAAGCAAGCAATTCCGTGACCTAATTCCATACCCAGTGCTCCCTGGTCTCCTTCCCTCTTCAGCCTCCAGAAGGCAGTACTAGTCTGTTGTTGAGCCAGCCAGAGGCTCAGCAGGTGAAAGCCCTTGCTGTGCAAACCTGACCTGAGTGTACTTCTCAGACCCGTGTAAAAGTGGAGTAGAGAACAGACTCTGTGGACTTGGTCTCTGGCCTCCATATGTGCGCATAGCATGCATGCGCATGCCCACATCTGTCCCACTCCCTCGTTAATCTTTAAAAAGTTATTTTAATTACGTACATATCTGTGGGTCTGTGTATGGCTATATGCACACGTGAGGTGTTGCATCTCCCTCCAGCTGGGGTTG